CAGAATCTTCCAGTTTTGACTCAACCTCACGACAAGGGAGTCATTTCATGATCGAATTTCAACTCTATGACAAAGGATAGTTGATGTAGACGAAATTTGTGTCTTTTAATCTTTGCTCTATTTTCATTACACGATAATGAGCAAAGAGGGGCAACTGAAGACACTTAAACTCGTCCCTCATAATACATACATATATATAATATTATATTATGTTATAAGTTATAATATACAGTTTATTTACATTTTTTTTTCTCTCTTCTCTCCTTTTACAGGCCCAACAGTAATGGCCCAAATCCCACGTGACCCAAGTGACCCATTGGAGTTAGGGTTCCCAGAACCCTAGCAGTTTCCCCATCCAGCGCCGCATCACCAAGATTCCAGGGCTATCACGTCGCTCCAAGACCCCCATCACCGCACGTCTCGCCTCCAAACGACCGGAACTCTCGGCCACGCAAAGAAACAAGCAACAACAACCAACATCAGTGTTTTACTCTAATTTAAACTCTAAAAATAGCCATTTTTGGGCTATAAATATTATGTAAAGCACACAAGTTTGGGGTACGAAAAATACACAAAAAAAGATACTAGGCACGAGCACACAAAGAGAGATCGTGAGAGTCACAAAACTCAGAAGGTTGTAAAAGCATTCGAAGCATTTTTCTTGAAAAGAAATAAAGGGTATTTTTCTTGGTCTTTTACCTTTGTTTTTGATTCGGTTCCCTTGCACTGCTTGCATGTTGTTGTTGTTGAGTCTCCTTTGAACCATCAAGAAAAACTTTTTGGCCGATGAACTCTTAGGGGAAGGATCGAGACTTTGATCTCAGTTCTACCCTCCCCCGAGGCCTATTTCGAAAAACCAGTTTAAGATTTGGGTTGAAGGCAAGAAGAGCTTTCGGAAAAAGCTTACCTTTTCGTGTTTGGCCGCCGATGAACGACGGCCGCCGCGGATCAGCGGCGGTGGCAAGGCAGCTTGAGGCGGCGCAAGGCCGTTTTCTGGAAATGGATGGTGGTGTGTTCATCAGTTGGATGAACAAAAGAGAGAGTTTGAGTGAGGGAGGGGAGCTTTCGACGAGAGAAGAAGAGAGAAATGAAATTTCAAAAAAAATATTTGAGTCATATAGTTAGCCCAGCGGACCAAACTGGCCCGACCCGTGCTTATATCAGATCCGCGAGTTTTGCTAAAAGGGGTAAACTTCATTTTGGCTCCCTCTGTTTTGAAAAACATTCAATTTGGTCCCCAAATCGGTTGGGTAAACTTCATTTTGGCTCCCTCTGTTTTAAAAAACATTTAATTTGGTCCCCAAATCGGTTTAATTCCCTTGGTTATATTCTAATTCTGCCATCTAACTTTATTTTGTTTCATTTTACCCCTTTATACTTATATATATTTTATTATATCTCGTATTTACTCTTTTATACATAGATATTTGGATTTTTATTTATTTACACTATAATATATTATATTCCTATTAGTTTATATATATACATTACTTATTTTTCTTTTATTACATGCTATTTATTATATATATATTACTCATATTGCTTTTTTTTATTTTCTTTGTTTTTATATTTTTTATTTGATGTATATTTTTATTTACCTATCTATTTATATTTTTATATTTTTTTTCTTTATTTGAATTTTCGTATTTTTCCTTGTAAATTTTATTCATATTTCATTCCTAATTCTTGTGTACATTATACTTTCTTTATTTCGTTTGTTCGCCTTATTTTTATATTCTAATTTTATTATTTTTATTATCTAACCATTTTCTCAGTTTTTTTTAAGGATGTTTTCAAAACAATCAGAAGTAAGTAATTCATGATCAAATTTTACCTTTTTAATTTAAAATTGTAATTTTATTAAATCATGACAACTGAAAATTACGTAGTACCGAAAGGGCGGTTCAAGGGTGCTAATCCTTCCTTGACCGTAACCGACTCCCGAACTCGACACATTTCTGAAAAAACGCAGATCAGGTAAGATGGTGTCCGACCCACCTAAATTCGTTTTAAAATGGTCGGTGGCGACTCCAACCTAATTATTTCAAGTCGAAACCCAATTTCGGGGCCCACTCGAAAGACGGTTGCGACAAGTAACTTGAACTAATTTATAAAACCAAATTAAATAAGAACGAACCAACCTTAAAAAATGCAAAAAAGTAAAAGGCGCGCTCCGGGGACCGCGCTTTACCCTACGTGGCTTAGCCGCGTGTATCCATGTCAGTGTAAGGTACGCTTCAGGGGCGCGCCTTACCACACTTGACGCCAAATCAGCGTAAGCGCGGTCCCGGGGGCGCGTCTTACTGCAAAGGGTGTTAGATCAGGAAATATAGTCTGACGGTGCCTGATCGGGAAATATACTTTTTAACAGTGATTTTTCGGGAAATCACCAATAGTTTAATGTAGGGATAAATACAAAATTTTATATTAGAGAAATAAATTTATAAATATTAGACGGTTTAAATTAATAAAATTTTAAGAAGCGAAAACAAATTATCAATAAAAGTAAAAAAAAAACCTAAAATATATGAGAACTTAAAATTTTCTGAACGTGATTGCTCTCACTTATCCGCTTCGGTCCATCTCTGATTTAGGGCTGAGCAAGGGACTCGAGAAAACTAAAAAACTGATATGAGCCACATTATACAGTTCAATTCGGTTCGGATTTTTCATTTTACAGTTCAATTTCGGTTCGAATTTTCATACAGAACTTACTTATTCAAAATCAAACTGAATTAAAAAGAAAAAAATATCTAAATCAAATCAATTTTGAATTTATTATAGGAGAAATTTAAATAAAAAGTTTATAAAATTAAAAGTATTATTTTTTGTGAATTTAAACTTGTGTGTTGGATTCGATTTAAGTTTAAAATTTTCTGTTTTGGATATTAAGTTTAAAAAATAGTTAATAGTTAAAAATCATAAAACCAAACCGAATATTATGGTTTTTATTCGATTTCAGTTTCATTTCAAAAATAAATAACATAAGACGATTTGATTTATCTTTTATCAAAATATCGAACTGAATACATGATACATCCGTACCCTGATTGAAGTTATCGGTTTTAATACGGCGACTATCATTTCTAAGGAGTCCCCCACTGCCAGGTGGTCCTAGTTTGCCCCTTGCACCCCATCGAGGTTCAATTTCAGCAAACGGAGGGGACCAAAACACAGCGGCTCTCTCTGTCCTAATAAAGAGGATTGTCCCACCACAGAGGATTCTCCGTGATAGAAGAGCATAGATACTGTTAATCAAGCAATTTTGTAAGTTAATTTTTCAGCCAAAAACTTCGTTACAAGATAATTTGGAAAGAAAAAAAAAACATTTGCTACTTTTCATTTTTGGCATTAACTATGTTTTTTTTTTTTTTTGGTATCCCAAAGGTATCCCCGGCTTTCGTCAGAGACTAATCCCCCGAGGTACTGTCGGGCACAATTGTGGGGACCTCTCCCAAGAAAGTTTGCTGCATCCACAAGGGTTCGAACTCGAGACCTCTTGCTTAAGCGACCAGAGCCCCTTCCACTCAGGCCAACCTTCGTTGGTTGGCATTAACTATTTTGCAATATCAGAAAGTGGTCCAGTAATAGAAACCTTGTAACAGAGTGATCCATTAACTATGAATATCACATGCGTTTTTAGCTGTTATTTATCAAATTAATTAGGGTAAATTACACGGTCACTCATGTTTGAGTAAATTTCTCTTTTCTCTATTAATGTTTCAAAACTAACGATTTGATCACTAATGCTATCGATTTATAATATATCAATCACTCAATGTTAACAACCATTACTATGAGTGACTGAAAGCTAATGTAACACGATAGCCGTTGATTTGACACTATTTGAGCTCAAGAAAACCATTTTGGCTGGTGTTTCTCTTCAATCTCACTCGTCATTCTCCATATTTTGCTTAAACCTCAAAACTCACCATTTCTCTTTAATCTTTTCAATCTCTATGCTATGTACATGCACTGCCTCATCGGGTACGAAAGAGCATGTCATCTTCACGTCTCGTGTGTAGTGTGACGGATAGTAGAGTAGGATATACCAACAGTAAGGTTGAAGGCTTATTTTGGAATATCTTTTTCTTTCATTATCAAAGCCAACAAATAAAATTTTCATATGAAAAAAATACTATCAAATTACAGAATTATTAATAAGAATGAAAGACTGAAAGCATGAACGACGAGGGATCGGATTTAACATTTTATGTCATGTTAGAGGTCGTGAATTTTTCAAGGACATGGTTACCTTTAAAAAAAATGAAGATTTAATGTTTGAAGATTAGGGAAGAAGAGGATGAGATAAAAAAGAAGATAATGATTTAAAAATTTTAATTCATAAGCAAATAAGATGTGTAAAATAAATGTGGTGTGTACTCATTCAATTGGATAGAGACTAAGGATGCGGTGGTGAACAAGGTTCATAAAATAATTCTACTAATTCTATTAATATCTCGTTGATAACATTTGTAATGTTTTTTAAACAAATTAAATTGTTGTTCCTAGAGGTTACGGGTTAAAGCACCAGCGACCGCAAGGGTGATTAAACATTCATTGTCAAATGATTGATAATACTTAGAACATATACTATTTTGTAATAACCTTTAGCTTAATAAAGAAAACATTAACTATGTTTCAATAACAATTACTACGCCTAGCCAAAAAAAATCACAATTACTACAAAGTGACAGGATTCATGGATAGGCAAAAATCTATGAACTTTAAACTTTGAGATAATCTCTATTTTATATATATAAAATAAAAAGTATAATGAGTAAATTAGACACAAATTGCGTATGAGAAAAAGACAAGAGAACAATACGTTCAAAAATCTTGTAGTAAAAAAAGAAGGGAAAAAGATAACGTTGCATAATCTTGAGCGCATTTGTTAGATTTAACCACGTGGTCTATTAATCATAAGTCTAAAAGGTAGCCTCCATTTGCCTATAAATTCGAGCACCTTGGAATTGGTTCAAGGCAAAGCAATCGGATTCATAGAAAAACTAAAAAAAATGGAGATATCAGTAATGACACTAAGCCTTTTGGTGTTGGTTTATCTGGTGGGTTCTGCCGCAGCACAAAGTGCTGAAAATGTGAATGCTTATAAGGTCTACTTCAAGGCTGTGGAGAATAACTGGGACATGAATGCTGCTCATGTTTACTGCGCCGAATATAATGCCAATGAGCCCGTCGAATGGCGCAGCAAATATTATTGGGCCGCCTTCGGTGATTCCCATGGTCCCGTAGGGAAGGAAGCTTGTGGCCTGTGCGTCAATGTAAGTAATATTTTCAACATCTTAGTTTCTCCAACTCAAATATATATGTATATTCATCGAGTTATCATTCCGGTGTAGGTGACAAACACCGCTACTGGAGACGAAACAACAGTAAGAATCGTTGGTCCCAGCAACAGTGGACTAGATTTGGACGAGCCAGTGTTTCATCAGCTAGACAGTGATGGGCAAGGCGAAGTTGTAGGGCACCTTGTTGTGAACTATAAGTTTGTGGATTGTGATCCAAAACCAGCAGGTCCTGGTGAGACTAATGTCCTAGCTTATTATTCAGAAGACTACAACCCTTTAGAGAATAATTGGACCTATCCTTCACACGCCGCTTGCTACGCCATGGACGGCGGTAAACCCTTTGAGTGGCGCAAAAGATATGGATGGACCGGTTACTGTGGCAAGTATGGCTCTAATGCGGAAAACATTTGCGGCCAGTGCTTAAAAGTAACCAATACACGCACAGATGACTCGATAACTGTGAGGATCACGGATACATGCGGCACCGGAGCCCTGGAGTTGGACTACGAAACGGCTTTTAAACCGATCGACACTGATCTTCAAGGGTTTAAAGATGGACATCTTACTGTGAACTACGAATTTGTGAACTGTGATGACGATGTGGGTTCCTCACTTGTCTATTCCCAGTAACTTCGATATATGTTACCAAAGACGTGAGAATTCCCACTCGATTTAACACGACTGATATTAAATCGCATAAACTATTATGTAATAAACATGTTACCGCGGGAATCATGGATTTCGTTGCGTTTGTAACATTAGATGAATAACAAGTGGGATTGTTTCAACTGCTCGGAATTTCTATTTTAATGTTTTTTATTTTTGTTTTAGTCATGTGGTTAAAAAATTACTCCTTATATTGATATAAGTTTTGGAATAAATGTCTTCGAAATTGTGTTTAGTCCAATGGGTAAGTGCTTCCCCTCTCTTTAATGGGGCGTGAAATCAAATCTTGTTGGCTGCATTTGGAAAGTTTTTGTCACCATCTTGTTAAAATCTTGAAATTGGATGACCAAAATTAGACAAGAGTAAAAGGAAGACCTAATGTCAAAATTAGCCCATAACATTTATCAAAATAGTCATTTATACCTTTTTTTCTAAAATATTTTGGCCTTAACATTTCATTTTAGAGTAAAAAGACATTTATTTGAAAGCGTTAATCGTTTATTAACTAACAGTTTTCACCCACAAACAAGCCTTTTTACTCTAAAATAAAACGTTAAGGGTTAAAATGTTCCAAATAAAAGAATAGAGACTAAAATAAATATTTTAATAAATGTTAGGGGCTAATTTTAACATTATTCCAAAAAGAACTCCACCATAAAGCTACTGATTGCATATTATTAGATCACTTTCTCCCAACACAATAAAAAACAACCCGAATGGCTCAATGGACTCACATATGGGGCCAAGATAATAAGCATCATAGGCCTATAACGCATCAAGCCTAACTTTCATGGTATTGCATCTAAGACAGCATGTTCAAACAATCGGGTATATAATGACGGGTTTAATTTCACTAAATTTAAAGGTCTTAAAAAATAATTAAATCACGTAAATTTAGGTTAAACGCTTAACTTCATTAATTTTAAAAGTTACAATGATCTAAAAATAATTATACCACAAAATTTGAGGGATAAGGGCTCAATTATAATGATTTTATAATTATCAGTGACCTAAAATATAATTAGATCATCAAATTTGGGAGGGGTAAATGCTTAATTATAATGATTTTATAATTATCAATGACCTAAAATGTAATTAGACCATCAAAGTTGGGAGGGGCAATGGTTCTTCCCAACTATAACGTACATCCCTCCCTAATGAAGTCCCCTGGGACCACCTCTCTCTCTCTCTTTAAAGTTTTGTCGTCTCTTTCACATAATCCATTTTTCTCTCGGACCTGAAATTTAATCAGTGAATAACACTTCGCACAAATTAGAAAAAATAAATTATAAGTTAATAGCTAAAACATTTTATTTTTGTATTAATCATTGTATATCACCACCTTACTCATTATACAGTACATGCATGCATTTGAATATAATTAAGCTCATTCGCCTGCTTCCATGAATTTTGGAGAAAGTCTTGGTAAACCAATCATGTTTCCTTTTGATTACAACATTCCCAATCACTGTTCCAAATAGGAATCCACATCCATAGCCCAGAAATATTGCTATCCAATCCAATGATCCAGACCCTTCTGAACTAGTTGAAGATGGAGTTGGCAATCCTCCAGAATTAGTGTTACATTCTTTTAGCATTTGTTTTCCACGCAACCCTGGATTTCCTTCAAAGGAACTACTTTGAAAAGTATCAACTTGGTGGCCCTGTGGTATAAGCCCTGTGAGATGATTATAAGCGAGGTTGAGGAACTCAAGGGAATTGAGTCCAGGACTCAACTCCAAAGGAATTATTCCCTCTAGCTTGTTCCTTGAAAGGTCCAAAGATTCAAGATTAGTGAGCTTCGCTATAGCTTTTGGGATTCCTCCAATAGATCTCATTAATGTTTCGACAACTGAGTGTTTTCTCAGCTTTGATAATTTTCTTCCCATGATTTTTAAAATGATGTTCCTTAGTCGATTTTCTATAGAGTTCAATGGCTGAACTAAATCTCGAAAATTGTGTAACAGATTCTTGTAAGAGCCAACATTGTGATAATCCATGCGTATGTCGAGAGAGAAGTTATTCGATCTGAGATTGTAATAATTTGAAATCTTAAAAATCAAGATTTATGAATTTGAGTTCCATAAGTTTTATTCCATGAATGCTTCAGATGTATCATTAAATTCCTTTCGATCCGAGTTTTCGGTCGATCAGATGTGTTCAGATGATTCAGTTATTGAAAAAAAAAATTCTTATGAACGTTGTTTCCATCTTATCTTAAGCCTTATTTGATTTGTGTTTGATATAACATTCAGTTATATTAAATTATTATCCGATCGAAAGTGTTATTGAAGTGTAATTGGAAGTGTAGTCATCTTCAACTATAATACTTAAATTTCAATATCTATAAAGCTCATATCATTCCATTTATAGAAACGAAATCCTGAGCAATTGGCACAATCCCGCTTCTTATTAATCTCATGTTACAATCTGCAAGCGGAATTTATGATTCCGTAATAACATGTTTATTACACAGGTTTTTACATTGATAAGATTCATGTGAAATGGAGTGGGAGATCTCAAGCCTTTGGTAATTAATATAAAGCAAAGTTACTGGGAATAGACAAGAACATCGTCGTCACACTCCACAAATTCATAGTCCACAGTAAGATGGCCTGCTTCATACCCTTTGCCGTCAGTGTCAATCGGTTTAAAAGCTGTTTCTGTTTTTGGTACAGGGTTGATTTTGTAATTATGTACCAGGGTTTTCTATTATAAATAGAGATGTAACCTAGACCTAAAATATCATTGAATAAAACTTCTAGCGCCGCCTAGGCACCGAGGACATAAGCACATTGCCGAACCTCATAAAATTCTCGTGTTCTTTCGTTTTCTTTACCTGTTTTCGTCAACAATTGGTATCAGATGTCAGGAGCAAAATTCGAAGTCACGAAATTCGATGGTCAGGGTAACTTCGGATTATGGCAAACGAGGGTGAAGGATCTATTGGCGCAGCAAGGGATCTTGAAGGCTTTGCGACCTACAAAGCCGACGTCGATGAATGAGGAAGATTGGGAAGAATTGCAGCAGCGAGCGGCAGGAACCATACGATTATGCTTGGTGGACGAGGTCATGTATCACGTCATGCATCTATCGTCTCCAGACGAAATTTGGAGGAAGTTGGAAAGTCAGTTTATGTCCAAATCCTTAACGACAAAACTATATCTGAAGCAGCGGCTGTATGGGCTGAAGATGCAGGACGATCACGATTTGGCGCAACACGTGAATGTCTTCAATCAAATCGTTTCTGATCTGGCTCGGCTTGATGTGAAAATTGAGGATGAAGACAGAGCGATGATTCTGTTGTGTTCGTTGCCTCCCTCTTACGAACACATGGTGACTACTCTTACATATGGGAAAGAGACTATCAACGTTGAGGAGATTACTGCAGCCTTGTTGGCTCACAACCAGCGGAAGCAGTATGCAGGGGAAAGCTCTCAAGCCGATAGCCTATATGTCAAGGGTAATCAAGATCGTGAACGGAAGCCAGAGAAGGCAGGGTCCGGGAAGCGGAATTCCAGATCCAAATCCAGGGATAAGAAGACGATTCACTGTTACAAGTGCAAGGAGGCGGGACATATGAAGCGAGACTGTCCGAAGTTGAAAAAACAGACTGATGAGAAGCGTGATGGCTCATCCAAGTCTGTGAACGTGGTCGAGGATGATAATTCTGATTGCAGTGAGGGTGATATGCTTTCTATTTCAACGACACAATTGACGGATGCTTGGATTCTTGATTCTGGATGTTCTTATCACATCACGCCAAATAGGGAATGGTTTTCGACATACAGGCCGGTTAATTCTGGTTCGGTTTATTTGGGTGATGATCGATGTTGCAATATTGTTGGTATTGGTGATGTCAGAATTAAGATGCACGATGGCTCCGTTCGGACGTTGAGTGGTGTTCGACATATCCCAGACTTGAAGAAGAATTTGATTTCCTTGGGCACTTTGCACAAGAATGGTTTTATCCCTAAGGCTGACGAGGATAGGGAAACCATTCGGATTGTTAAAGGAGCATTGACTGTGATGAAAGGCAAGATGACTGCAGGGAATATCTACAGATTGTTAGGGAGTACCGTTGCAGGTGGAGTTCACTCTGTTGAGTCCTGTGATGATACGACAAAATTGTGGCATATGCGCCTTGCTCATCTTAGTGAACGTGGTATGGCAGAATTACACAAGAGAAACTTGTTGCATGGTGTCAAAAGCTGTAAGCTCGATTTTTGCAAGTATTGTGTTCTTGGTAAACAGACTAAAGTCCGTTTCAAGACTGCGAAGCACACAACTCAAGGGATTCTTGATTATGTGCATTCTGATGTATGGGGGCCTTCTACGACATCGTCTTTGGGTGGATCTAGGTACTATGTTACTTTTATTGATGATTTTTCACGGAAAGTTTGGGTGTATTTTTTGAAACAGAAATCTGAAGTTTTTGAGAAGTTCAAGCTGTAGAAAGCTGAGGTAGAAAACCAAACAGGACGAAAAATCAAGTGTTTGCGGTCTGAAAATGGTACGGAGTACACAGATTCACAGTTCCTACAATTTTGTAAGGAGCATGGGATTCAGAGGCATTTTACAGTGCGCAAGACACCACAACAGAATGGTGTTGCGGAACGAATGAACATGTCGTTGAATGAAAGAGCCAGATGTTTGCGGTTGAATGCGGGGCTTCCCAAACACTTCTGGGCTAAGGCTGTTAACATGGCGTGTTACCTTATCAACAGATCACCAAGGGCATCGCTGGATGGGAAAGTTGCAGAAGAGGTATGGACTGGTCATGATGTTAGTTTTGATAACTTACGGATTTTTGGTTGTCCTGCTTATGTGCATGTACCTGCTGATGAGAGATCCAAACTTGATGCAAAATCGAAGGAGTGCATTTTTCTGGGTTACAGGAAAGGTGTCAAAGGATTCAAGTTCTAGGATCCAGTTGCGAAGAAAGTTGTGATTAGTAGAGATGTCGTTTTTGATGAACAGTCCATGTTGCAGCAGAAGCAAGACACGACAGTGGTGGATTTCGAGCAGTTTCCAGTTGAGAAACCAGAAACTTCTCAACCGACTTCTGGTGGTTCCACTACGGATGATTTGCAGGATTATAGTCTCGCCAGAGACAGGGTGAGACAGACGAATATAAAGCCTCCGAACAGATTGGGTTTTGAAGACTTGGTATCTTTTTCACTTACTGTTAGCAGTGATGATCCGGTTACTTTTCATGATGCCGTTACTAGTCAGGAAAACGACAAGTGGATGGCAGCCATGGTTGAGGAGATGGAGTCTTTGAATCACAATCGCACATGGGAGTTAGTTCCCCTTCCTGAGGGTAAGAAGCCGATTGGCTGCAAATGGGTGTATAAGAAGAAACCAGCAGTAACAGAAAAAGAGGGGGAGAAGTTCAAGGCTCGTTTGGTAGCGAAGGGTTTTTCACAGCAGAAAGGAGCTGATTATGATGAAATCTTTTCTCCTGTGATCAGGCACACTTCAATCCGAGCAGTACTTGCATTGGTGGCTAGTTGGGATTTGCATTTAGAGCAGATGGATGTTAAAACTGCTTTTTTGCATGGTGATTTAGAGGAGCAGATCTACATGCGGCAACCTGAAGGTTTCACTCAACCTGGAAAAGAGAATTTAGTTTGCAGATTGAAGAAATCTTTGTACGGGTTGAAACAGTCTCCGAGACAGTGGTATAAACGGTTTGACTCCTATATGATCAAGATTGGCTACAACCGATGTGAGTATGATTGTTGTGTCTATGTTAAGAGCCTTGATGATGGTTCTTTTATTTTTCTATTACTGTATGTTGATGATATGTTGATTACTGCGAAGAACATGGATGATGTTATCGGTTTGAAAACTTTATTGAGTCAGGAATTTGATATGAAAGATTTAGGTGCTGCAAAGAAAATTCTTGGAATGGAAATTTGCAGGGACAGAGACTCAAGGAAACTGCGGCTATCTCAACGGGGTTATGTTGAGAAAATGCTAGAAAGGTTTGCGATGAGCAGCGCGAAACCAGTTAGCACTCCATTGGCGAATCACTTTAAGCTCTCATCAGAACAGTGCCCTAAGACAGATAAGGAAGCTGAAGATATGGCAAAGGTTCAGTATTCTAATGCTGTTGGCTGCTTGATGTATGCGATGGTATGTGTTGTTAGTCAAGTTTGTAAGTACATGTCTAAACCTGGTAAGCAACATTGGGAAGCAGTCAAGTGGATCTTTCGATACTTAAAGGGTACTGTGGGACATGGAATTGTTTTTGGCAGTCAGCGGGATAATCCTTTGGTTGTAGGATATGTGGATTCAGATTATGCAGGTGACTTGGATAATAGAAGATCTACGACAGGGTATGTGTTTACTCTTGGTGGAGGGCCTATTTGTTGGAAGTCTACTGTTCAATCTGTCGTGGCACTATCTAGAACTGAAGCTGAATACATGGCAGCGGTTGAAGCTGCAAAAGAAGCTTTATGGCTTACTGGTTTAGTGAAGGAGTTGGGTGTTCAACAAGGTGGAGTTCAGTTGCTTTGTGATAATCAAAGTGCTATTCACTTGGCTAAGAATCAGGTGTATCGTGCTAGAACTAAACATATTGATGTAAGGTTCCACAAGAACAGAGAGTTGGTTGCATCTGGAGAGGTTTTGTTTCAGAAGGTACATACTGATGAGAATGCTGCTGATATGTTCACCAAGCCAGTTACGACAGACAAGTTCAAGCATTGCTTGGACTTGTTGAATGTTTCGAGTTGTTAAAGAACCAAGGTAACCCAACCCACATTGAAGTTTCTAAGGGGCAGGATATTCGTCAAGGTGGAGATATGTTGAATGTTAGGTACGGTACAGG